ACACTACGGATCATCGTCGAACAATCAATTGAGTGGAACTAGTCACTATACATCAACTTCATTGATTATGAGAAGGCGTTTGACAGTGTAGATAGGAGAACGTTATGGAAACTTCTTCGACACTACGGAGTTCCTGAGAAGATTGTCAATATTATCCGGAACTCATATTGTAGTGAACAATAACACAGGTGGGGACAATCGACTGTATTTAGCATAAAAACTTACAGACTGTCTCAATAAAATGTGAATACCATAAAGTCAATCATCAATTTGCAAAATATTATTCCATCATATGAAACTGTACTGTTCCCGTTGCAAACACTAATCCATTGTCGCCCGTTCCATTGTACATGCGTTTTCTTACAATTCCATTGTGCTCTTGCTCTTCCTTTCTTGATCTTCGCCATCTGCTGCCGGACATTACGTTCTTTTAACGCACGTATATACTACTTATATGAATATAAGTAGCTCACACCACAATATGACGGACTACAGTGCAGGGTCGTGCATGGAGGACAGCTGACAGATGCATTCCAAGTAAGGACCGGAGTCAGACAACGCTGTTTACTCTCTCCCTTCCTCTTTCTTCTGGTGGTCGACTGGATTATGAAGACCTCGACATCTGTAGGAAAACGCGGGATACAATGGACAGCTCAGAATCAATTAGACGATTTGGACTTCGCAGATTACCTAGAACTCCTATCTCATACACATGCACAAATGGAGATAAAGACAGCCAGTGTAGCAGCAGTCTCTACATCAGTAGGTCTCAACATACACAAGGGGAAAACCAAGGTCCTCAAATTCAACACGGAGAACAGCAATCCAATCACTCTTGATGGAGAAACTCTGGAAGATGTAGAATCCTTCACATACCTGGGAAGCATCATCGATGAACAAGGAGGATCCGATGCAGACGTAAAGACGAGTATTGGCAGAGCAAGGGTCGCACTCCTACAACTGAAGAACATATGGAACTCAAAACAACTTCCAACCAATATCAAAGTGAAAATCTTCAATAAGAACGTCAAGGCAGTTTTACTGTATGGAGCTGAGACTTGGAGAACTATAACAACCACCATCAAGAAGGTACAAGTATTTATAAATAGCTGTCTACGCAAGATACTCAACATCCATTGGCCGGATACCATCAGCAATAGCCTTCTGTGGGAGAGAACAAACCAACTTCCAGCTGAAGAAGAAATTAGGAAAAGACGATGGAAATGGATAGGACATACATTACGCAAATCGTCAAACTGCATCACGACGCAAGCCCTAACTTGGAATCCTGGAGGGAAGCGAAAAAGAGGAAGGCCAAAGAACACATTACGTCGGGAAATAGAAACAGATATGAAAAGGATGAATAGGAACTGTAAGGAGCTGGAAAGGATTGCCCAGGACAGGGTTGGATGGCGAATGCTGGTGAGTGGCCTATGCTCCTTCACGAGGAGTAACAGGCGTAAGCAAGTAAGTAAGTATGTGTAAGAATACACAAAAGATAAAATTTAAAGGAAGAGTGAACAAACTGTTTAGTTTAGACTACAAATTTATCTTTGTTACTCAACAATTGGAAATCAACAATAAATGGAAAAACATTTTACCTTAATATGAGACTCCTTAGCAAATCCCATACACGATACAGCTTGAGATTGAACTGAAGACCTTTAGGACTTGAATAGTGCACTAAACCTTCAAACCATTCAACCATCATCTAGTGGTTTATACATTTAACATCAACAAACTATTGTTATTGCATGATAATATTCCTTTCCCATTGGTGGCTAACTGCTTCATACACAACATAAATGGAGACCAATGGTCATGACTTCTTATTAGAACTATGAAATTCCATAATCTCCACAAACCTCACTTAGTAGTAAGATAATTTTTAAAGTTTTAGTAGAAGACATGTGATATCAGTTGTTTAGAGTAAAACAGTAATTCATTCCACGTATTGAATGAAAATTATCCAACTATATGAATTGAATAAAAAAATTTTATCATTGAATCTCAACTCTATTTGTTATAGTATCATATATCCCGTATGGCATGGAGATCTTAGGTAGAGTTTAACGACTAGTTATAGATATACAGTCCTGAAAAATGTTGTCACTAAAATGAAGTAGAAATCTAATAATCCCCGGTTTGAAATGGTTCTTCAGTTGACGTTAGTTCTAAATAAATATTATATTCAGAGGAATGATTGATTCAAGTTACCATTATACTTTTTAATATATACATGACATATAAAATACAACTAATATTTTGAGACTGGACATGAGTAAAATTATAATTATCCTACTCAAATGAGGATATAAAATTAAAATATTAGAAAACTCTGAAATATAGTGAAAATTCCCATTTTGCTATTTGGTAAATTTAAGAAGGAATGAATTGAGTGAAGAAATTTCTTTTCAATTAGTTCTTCATGATGGCTCTACACTAATATAAATATGATTTACAATAATGATCTAATACTCATCGAGTGGATTCGTTACGTAACAATTACATAATGACATTTAAATTAACATTGAGTAATTGGAACAATGAGAAAAAATGAGGTAGAATAAACTTTCTAGATGTCCTGTTTACAAGGAGAAAAGACGGGTCATTAAGAAGAAACATAAACAAGAAAACTACTTGGACGGGCCAATATGCAAACCTTCTTAGTTTTGTTCCTCTACAATACAAAAGGAACCTGACTAAGACACTGCACCATTGAATCAAGATCATATGCTCTTTAGATACGGTCAAAGATGAAACAAAGGCATCATATATGACCCTGAAAGAAAATGGATATCCGGAGAAATCTATAAATAAAAACATATCCAATAAAAGAGAGCATAGAGAATGCCTAACCGTGAATGAAAAGCCTCTGTATATACGCTTACAATTCAGAAGCGATGTGCCTAGTGAGATGCTAAAACGGAATTTACGCAGATCAATCCAAAGAAATTGTAATGCAGGTAAACTACAATTAATGTTTTCCACACGTTCAGTGATCACTCCGAGGTTGAAAGATAAATTGCCTAGACTAGCCACTTCTTTCTGTATCTATCAATTCAACTGCTCCTGTGGAACAAGTTATATTGGCAGATGTTCTAGGAATTTGTATATTTGGCTCGTGAGCACCTCCTAGTGTGATTAGGAAAAAGTTTTATTAGTAATAATTGTGCTGTTATTGTCTGCACTTTTATTTTGGGTGTCGTTTTCTTAATCTGATCTCAGATCTTGCAAGTATTTGTTATTAATCATACTGCTCAATAGATAGGGTCTGTCTCATGATGAATATTATTTACAATATTGTTTACTGAATTCACCTAAATAATATATCAGTTTTTTGTTGAATGACGCAAGTTTTCCGAAACCTCTGATTAGCTTTGTGTTCTCGTTGTCCAGCATTTCTAAGTTTTCCCTGTTGAACTCGTATTCACAACTGACCAGATACATTTATATAAGTGATGATAAATAGTGACATTTAAGAGTCAATTAATAATTATACACAATAACCAAGAGGAGGCCCACTTTGTCCGATATATCATTGCAAGTCACTCCAGTTTGTCTCACAAATGGTACCGAAATAGTCTTTCTTTTAGTCTAAGTAATACGGGTTCGAGAGAACTTGTTGACTCTTGATCTATTAATATTCTTCATAGTTATAACGATAAATTAGATGTTTGAAATGTAGGATAAGACCATACAATTATTATTTCCCGTGGCTTATCCCATGGCTGATCTATCCGATCGCCCAAATTAGCTATCAAGTTTGCCCTCACTGCCCAACAGCACCACGTGGAGTCTTTGAATTGGATTTCGCCGCCATTAGGGGTAAGTTTCAGAATACCGGACAAATTTTAACACGACTTTCCTACTAAACTTGTATCATTTGGTCAATCCTTTTCTCACCTATAGACTTAATTAACCACTGGGTCACAGTAATAGGTTGAACAACTGTACACGAGAATGCTGACTGTCAAAAGTTTGAATTTTTCTGCCCCATAGAATTCGGTAAATTTGATTGGTTATGTGCTCTTAACCTGGTGGTTGAAACCTGAAAAAATTGACTAAGTCCAACGGAAACATAATGTACAGTGGTACAGAAGTAATGATACTAATATTAAAATATCATAGTTAACTGTACATTATGAATTTGTGGTTGAATTTTTACTTATAAGCGTAGTAATATCGAATTGAGTACTTACAGGTTATTTAATGGCATGTTATATTTTTGAAAAATGTATATGATTAGTACCAGAAGAGGTTTTTGTGGATATAATAGTAATTTCAATAGTTGAGATCATGAGTCAATTGAAGCTAAACCACCATGGAAAACCTGTGACTTAAGGCTATATCGAGGCAATCCGCACAGGATTCACATATGCCAACAAGAGACTGATCAATTGCAGTCCTTAATAATAATGGGAAGATACAAGTAAAACAATAGCAAGTGAATTTAAACTTCACCCCATTGCACAACCAGGTGGCTACAAGGACTCAGTAGCTAACTAGATAACGCAATGGCGTTTGAAGCGGACGGTACTGGGTTCGAGTCCCGGAGTGGACATAAACTCTGGGATGCAGGTACATCCAGCTGACGAGTCCCGAATAGGACGGAACGCGTGTCTCGGATTCCACTGCTAGCAACTATCCACCTTTGTTTAAAAAGGTTTACCACTTTTCTTGAAGCCAAAGGACGTTCTTAAGAAATAAAGAATAAATATATGTGTACTGACTGTTTAATAATAAATATAAAATACTGTTATTATTTACATACTTCTAATTACAATGCAGTTAATAGTGAAACCGTGATTACATGGAAGTTGAAAATAAACTAGACAAACTGAGTAGAATGTCACGAAAGACCGATCGAGTTTGCATAAGCTTAACGCAACCATTAGTAAAAATAATAGACTATATCGAGTCCGTTGGTATTCATGAAATGCGGTTAGACGAAGATGTTCAAGGCTATCCTTAGCATTGATTATCTCTGGCGAAGTTGCCGCGCTATTTAAAAAGGACAGTGGTATTTTTCCTCGCTGAGTAAATTTCATTGTTTTGATCGTTTATTACGTATCAAGACTACTGTTTTTCACTTTAATTGAATTTATTTCAGTTAAAGTATTCGACTAAAGTATCGTTTTTACTGTTTTGTCGTTGGTACTCTTTAGTACCACTTTTTCAACTGTATCTGTTAGTACTTTTGGTCCTAGCAATCTACAGCTCTTCACTTTTTTGGTCATTGATAATTTTTTTGTTTCTGGGTATCATCGCATATTGAAAAAACCCCTCCTAAATGACCGGACAGTGTAAAAAAAGCAGTTGCCAACGTCCGGGTTGTCGTTATCCTGTTGAAAGCGGCATGCAGTGCGACGAGTGCAAAGGCTGGTACCACGAAGTTTGCACGAACTTAACGCCTGCTGCTTTCAAACGGTTCAGTAAGAAGGGTTGTGTGTGGCTTTGTCAACAGTGCTGCTCGGATGCAAACAGCTTGTTAACCGAGGCTATCTCACTGGTTGATGCTGCCAAGAAGTGTTTCAACAAGCATAGTCGGAACGCGTCAAACAGCACTCGATCTGTTGACACGCAAATCAATGTGAAGGAAACTAAGGTGAGTCCGGTGATAGATGACTCACGCCCGTCGAAGAAGGAAAAGCAGTATCCAAAGGGGTCTGCCTTAAAAAAAAGCTCAAGAAAAGCAGGGTCTTCTGTTCCCCGTCTCCCAGATGGGATCCAACAGGAAACACCTAGGGGCCGCAATCGCAAGGCTCGATCGGTTTCGACTGGTAAACATAACACGACCCCTCAGGTCGTCGACAACCCCCCAAAACCCAACACTAGTTTTGACGCAACTGCTACTGCTTCTACCAGCAGCGTTAACGAATGGGTAAAGGTTGTAAGGAAGAAAAGTATTGACATAAAAGGGAAACCTGCCCCCGTAAAAGTGGTTGAAAAATCGAAAGCTGATCATAGCGACAGATCAGCTATTTTTCATAGAATTAAGGAGAGCGATAGCTCTGAACCTAAAGCTCGTTTTGAGCATGACATTGTACTGATTAGGCAGCTGCTTAATCAACTCATGCCTCAAAATATGACTGGGGTCACCTTGCTAAAGGTGTATAGACTAGGGAGTCTAACGGACTCGAAACCAAATCATTCCAGACTGCTTAAAGTAGTATTCGGCTCTTCAAACGAACGTGACCTAATTTTACAAAATGGACACAAATTAAAGGGTTCGGGAGTCTTTATCCGAAAGGACCTACCGTTGGCAGACCGTGTTAAAAGACGGGAAGCCGAGAAAGAACTACAACATAGGTTAGACGCTGGCGAAAAGGACCTGAAAATTGTAAATTTTCGGGTTGTAAGACTTCGACAGAGAATGATGCCGAAGCCACTCTGGGTGAAGCACGAAGGCACCTAAACAGGCTTCGGATCTGTTACACCAATGCACGAAGCTTACTTAATAAGCGATCGGAACTAGGTGTACAGATTGACTCTATAAAGCCAGATATAATCGCAGTAACAGAAACCTGGCTGACACAGGCTATAGATAGTATAGAACTTGATTTCGAGGGCTTTACGTTAGTAAGGGCCGACAGAACACAAAAGCGCAAAGGAGGGGGAGTAGCTCTATTCATTAGGAATGCTATCCCATTTACCATTATCGATAGTGTATCCCATGAGAGTGGGACATGCGAATTAGTTAGTCTTCGCTTAAAATGCAAGGGACAAGAGCTGCTGATTGGTTTGGTCTATCGCAGTCCAAGCTGTGAGGCAAATGAGGTCCTGTTAAGCAGTCTCAATACTTGGTCCCAAAGTGGTCGATGTCTAATCCTAGGGGACTTTAATGCACCAATGGTAGACTGGGAAAATCTGCGAACTAAATCGTCAGAAAATTCCTTTGAGCAGGAACTAGTTGATGCGGTTATCACATGTGCCCTAGTGCAACATGTGAAAGAAGCGACTAGGTACGACCCGGACACTGAATCATCCTTATTAGATCTTATACTGACTCACTATGAGGATGGTGTTGCGAACCTCCACCATATGCCACCCTTAGGTAAAAGTGACCACGCAGTTTTAACTTTCGACTTCCATATAACTGCCAGTCATGAGGACGCGTCAGTCCAGTCCAGACCCAACGTCTGGAAAGCAAACATACCAGACATCATGCACTCAGCATCGTTAATAGATTGGACAATAGACCCAGAGTCCTCCATTGAAACGGCCTGGGACGCATTTCGAAAATCATACTTAAAAGTTACCACACCTCACATCCCTTGGACTATACCAAAGGGGCCGAAAAACTCACCACCATGGTTCAGTAGGGAGGTCCGTATCCTTCTCCGTAAGAAAAAGAAAACGTGGGATAGATTTAGGTTACTGGGGACTGATGAGTCAAAATCTCAGTATCGAAAGGCTCGGAACACTTGTGCCTCGACCCTCCGTAAGTCTAGAAAATTGTACGAAGAAAAACTTGTTAAGGAATCCATAGAATGTCCTAAACGCTTGTATTCCTATATAAACCAAAGGACAAGGAGAAAAGGAAATATTCCTGCTCTATGGGGAGACAGTACTGCTTCATCATTAGTGGAGGACGACTTTGGTAAGGCTCAAGCGTTCTCGAACTACTTTAGCAACGTGTATACCATAGAAGCGCCCTTCTCGTCAGCGTATACAGATCCCCCCATACATACACTGGATAGCGTGACCATTAAAGAACTCGATGTCTTTGGTCTGCTAAATAAGCTTGACATAGGTAAATCCACGGGGCCCGATGAATTACATCCTGGGCTACTGAAGGAGTTATCTAACTTCGTTGCGAACCCTTTAAGTACATGCTTTAACCTATCCGTTACGCAGGGTCGCTTACCGAAAGATTGGAAAAACGCCATAGTAAGTCCTGTCTTCAAAACAGGCACGAAACACAAATCTGAGAACTACCGCCCCGTTAGCCTAACTAGTGTGGTTGTTAAAATATTAGAAAAGATTATTCGGAAGGAGCTGTTTAAGTATCTCGATAAAAACCGGATCCTCTCGGAGAAGCAGCATGGCTTCAGAATAGGTTATTCTTGTCTCACTAACTTATTAGTGGCTCGTGAAAGCTGGTGTGCTCTTAAGGACCAAAAGCTACCTGTAGACGTCGCCTTCATTGATTTCAGTAAAGCTTTTGATAAAGTTCCGCACAACCGGCTGTTATATAAGTTAAGAAAAGTTGGGATTGGAGGTAATTTATTGATGTGGATAAAAGACTTCTTAGTTGGGCGTCAACAAAGAGTAAGGGTGAACTCAAAGTTATCTAGCTGGGAAACTGTGCTTAGTGGAGTGCCCCAGGGTACAGTTTTGGGGCCAGTGCTATTCCTCTTATATGTAAATGATTTCCTTGTCTCCTATCATCATCGGTCTTGCTATATGCTGACGATGTCAAGATATGGAGAACGATACGATGTAAGAGTGATAGCTTAGAACTTCAAAATGACCTGAAGAAGTTATCTGAATGGTCTCAAACATGGCAGTTGCCGATAAATACTTCCAAGTGTGTGGTGATGCATATCGGTCATCAAGGCACAGATACATACACGATGAATAACACTGAGCTACCTGTCGTCCAGACATATAATGACTTAGGAGTTATCGTTAGTCAAGACTTAAAGACTACTGCACACTGCCGTGCAATAGCCGCCAAAAGTTTTAGAACGTTATGGTCAATACGTAGGGCTTTTAGTCATGTCGACACTAAGACGTTTTTGACTTTGTATACAGTGTTCGTTCGTCCTAAACTTGAGTACTGCATACAAGCGGCTAGCCCCTGCTTTAAAAAAGACAGAGAGCTTCTGGAAAAGGTTCAGAGAATGGCGACTAAGCTGGTTCCCGCAATAGCGAAGCTTCCGTATGAATCTCGACTGGCCAAGCTGAACCTTTTCCCGTTGTCATATCGCAGAACTAGAGGCGACTTGATTACAGTCTACAAATTGCTTAGTGATAAATTTGCACCTGATATGCCCTCATTTTTCTTGTCTTCCAAAACAGAGAATTTACGAGGACACTCCAAAAAAGTTCATAAGCCGAGAACAAATTACTTGTCAGCTGACTATCGACTTTCCCATCGAATCATCAACGAGTGGAATTCACTACCTCAGCACGTGGTTGAGGCTCCATCCGTCGACTGTTTTAAAAGAAAGTTGGATCAACTGAGAGACCACCATTGCCAGGACTAACATAGGCCATCGAGCCTCCTGTCCTTCCCAAACTGAAACTGAAACTGAAACTGAAGTATACTGACAAAACTTTTGTGTGTTTTTCAATGGTAGATGAAATATTACTGGAATCGGGAACAAAATTATCCGTTCTAAACATATTTTCGAAGACACATATTTCAGCGTAAAACATGATCCTATTTTGATTTTAAACAAAATTCTTAAGAATTTTCAACTACAATGTAAATATATGCATATTCTAACTATAATTGCTATCATTATTGTTATCGCGTACTTGTACTATCATACTATTGACCATAAAGGTCCATAAGTACTAAGTGAATACTTACTCAGTCCTGTCACCCCCTGTGGAGTATATGCTGCCAACCAGGATTCTCCATCGAAATCTACCCTCTGCCCTCCTTTTCAGTTGTTTCCCATTGCTATTCGTTCTTCTGATGTCTGCTTCCAGCTCCCAACGCAGTGTATTCTTGTGTCTTCCATGTTTTCCTTTCCTTTCAGGATTCCAGGTTAGCGCTTGCCTTGTGATGCAGTTTGGGTAGTTTCCGCAATATATGTTCTGCCCAGCGGCTTTCCCTAATTTTTTCTTCGGATGGAAGCCATTTTTTCTCTCTCACAGTAGGCTGTTTCTGATGGTATCTGGCCAAAGAACACTAGCTATCTTACATAGACAATTGCTTATAAATACCCTCACTTTTTTATGATGACTGAAGTTGTTCTCTAAGTTTTAGCTCCGTACAATAGAACTGTCGTGGTGTTTGTATTAAAAATTCCGATTTTGTTGTTATGTGATACAGTTGTTTTGAGTTCCATATTTACTTCGATTGCAGAAATCCTGACCTTACTTTGCCAATACGTGCCCTGACACTTGCATCGGATTCTCCTAGTTTATCAGTGGTGCTGTACAGGTACGCGAAATTTTCCACCTCTTCCAGAGCTTCTCTGTCAAGTGTAATTTAGTTGGTGCTCTCTTTATTTGGACTTCAGGATCTTGATTTTCCCCTTGTGTATGTCGAGGCCAACTGATTCAGAGGCTGCTGCTACATTGGCTGTATTAACCTGCAGTTGCTGTTGTGTATAGGAGTCTATTATGAGAATAGTTTCTGACGATTAATATCACAAAATAGAGTTCGTTCGCTCTAATTTCCATTCAATTGTCTTTGAAGTTTCGTTGTTATTAAATTCATGCTCAACGCATCGTCTCAACTTCATTCAACTAATTTAGAAGAGATAGAATGTGTCCGTGAATTTGTAACACATTCGTTTTTCAGTTTTCAATGTATTCGGTATTATTTATTTTCAGGCAGTTTCCCGTTCATTTAACGGGCGACTGCTGCAAGTAACAATGTAATCTTCACGCTAAATTTCACTTCGCTTTTTTATCCGGGAATTTGAAATGTATTACAGCGGTGTGTTCATAGAAAACAGATGTAGATAGAGGTATATTACTAAAATGAAGTTTAAAATGAAAACCATGTTCCTATATTCAAGACTCACCTACTGAATGAGCAGGAAAATACCTGGAAGTACTAGATATTACACATTTATTGAACACAGGAAATAAGTTGGTTAACCTTATACTCTTACCTAAATTACTTTCTCATTATTCTAACACTTAGTCTATTATGTTGCTGAGATAATTATTAATAGTTAAATGTTTTTTCTTTATCAGATTTTGTTGATGATACTTGAATTACTGTAAAATAATGTAGTAAGAAGAACTAGTACTATATTCTTAATTCAATTAAATAAAACCAAAAAGAAAAAAGAAAGATTTTTACTAGTATAGGGGTTGTGGAGATGATTAAGCTTTTGATTGAGATCATGAACCGATTGATGTTAGACCACCTTTGGAAACCTGGAAGCACTGGACGGCCGTCTCGTCCTATTGTGGGAGGCAGATACCTCAGTACGATGGAAGTTGGTCGCGCAGTTTCGTGGATTGGTTGATGTTAGACACTGTCACCAGTGGATGCCGGCTCAGTGGTCCAGTAGGTTAAGTGTTCGCGTGAGAGACCGAAGGCCCTGGGTTCGAATTCCGCGGGCGGGATCGTGGATGCGCACTGCCGAGGAGTCCCACAATAGGACGAAACGGCCGTCCAGTGCTTCCAGGTTTCCAACGGTGATGGTCTAACATCAATCGGTTCATGATCTCAATCAGAAAGATTTTTAATTATGTTCATATAATTCTTAAATTCACAATATATAAATAAAATATTTGACAAGATTCTTTGTGACCTCCAATGAATTCTGAATGAAATTTAAATAAGTCGTTTAAACTTAACTTATTATCATGCTCAAATAACCATGAAAAACGTTTGAGTATATCTAAAAATGTAGATTTAGAGATTATAAACTTAATCTAATATCGTACTTTTGAAACGCGTAATCTATATACTTTTCAAGATATTGAGAAAAATTCATTTGATTCATTAATTCACCGAAGTGCATTAGTTCCTTC